CAATGGCTGGAGTTTGTGCTGTCTGCCCTTGTCCTGTGCCTGGCTCTGAGGAATCGCCGTATGGCTGGGAATATCACTTCCTCTCTAGGGCTAGACCTTCTACCCCAAGTGCTAAAGATTCTCAGATCCATGATCCTCTTTGGCACAAGAGGGGAGGTAATTATGATGTGTGACAGTCCAGCAGTTACCAAGGGGATGGGGTCAGTCCTGCATGGTGCCAGCTGCTCTCCCTCTGAGCTGTAATTATGAGTTGGCTGAACTCTGAACCATTGGGCTTTCTCCTTGATGACCTCTGAAAGGTACAGGCTCAAGATGGAGTCTCAGCAGGAAAAAAGAGTTGACAAATAAGATAATCTTTGTTTTTCTACCATGTGTCTGATGCTTTTCATATATTTACTCATATAATGCTCACGGGACTCTGAGGTGGGAGTAATTATTAATGCTATTTTGCAGAAGAGGAAGCTGACACCCATTGGGCTTGCTGAGAAATGATGGGGCTGGCCTGTGAGCTCAGATTTGCCTGTCCTATAGCCCCTGCAGATCCAGCGAGCTTCTCAGGGCAGAGAATCTCTGCTTCTCCCTGGGCAGCTTCCTGAAAGTCTATGATGCTGGGATGAAGCTGGTGTGCCTCCTTAGGCATACCTGGCCTTTCTTTTTTTCAATTTTAGGTATACAGATATTCATTGTGCAGGTACCCTTGTTAATGAGGTGTGTCCCCCCTTCCCCAGGCAGATATCTACTACTGTTAAGTCCACCTCTCCACCCCCCACCCCCCACAGTTTCCCGCTTCTGTCAATCCTTTTCTTATACAGATTTGGCCTTTCTACGGAAGACTGACTCTTTGGTGAGTGTAATGGCCTCCTTTCTAAAGAATCTGTTGGATACTGATGTGAGTGCTAGGAATAGGGATGCAGTTCGAAAAAGACATGGGCCTTAAAGACATGGACTCAGATCTGAAGTTCATATCTCAGTCCCTTGTTTACTGTGCATCTTTGAGCAAGTTACTTAACTTCTCTAAACCTTAGTGGCTGCCTCTGTGGCAGGGCTTATGAGACCCACCACACTGGATGACTGTGAGACTAAAACCAGACACTTCAAGCCTTTGCACACAGGAGGTACATAGCCAATGACTGCCTTAAGTTGTAGGCAAACTGACGGCAAGAAATGACTCTGAGCTGGTGGGTTTAACCCAATGGGTCTGAATGCTGATCCCTTGTCCTCTGCAAACCTCAGGGCTGACCTATCTCTGAGAGGGACAGACATGGCTAGGCAAGGGGACAAGTTAGTGGCACTGCTATGGCCTGGCAGTCCCAGGACAGGGGAAGCCAAGAGGCAGCTCCAGCATGATCTGACCCTTGCAGGTGGGACTCAGTGGTGCCAGGTATGGAACCAGCCTCCAGGCCTGGCAGAGAATGGAGAAAGAGCTGGGCAGACTCAGAAACTCTTTCAGAGGCTTCCTAAGTAAATCAAAGATCTTCCCCTGCCCCCCTGCCCTCCTTAAGCTTCAGACAGAGACTTTGAGATGGGAGATAGCAGAGAGAAAGATCCTTCCCTCAGCCCAGACTTGCAGTCCTTCAGCAGATCAAGCCCACGCAGGAAGGGGCCTCTCAGGGGAAGAAGGGATCACTTGAGGCAAGGAAAGAGAACCCGGAGTGAGGAGGCCTGAAGAAGCCCTTGGACTCATGCAGAAGCCATGTGTAGGCACCTTTGTGGAATTTAGAAGCCCTCTGGGGTGTTGGCTTCTTGAACTGGGCTCATGGTCTATTGGAACCTCAGAGACTGGACAAACAGAGAATGCAGTATGCTGAGGAAGACCTCGCCATGTGCTGTGCACCATAGTCTGAAAGAACGTCCCTTTCTACTTCACATTAAGAAAGGGAGGTCTCAGCCAGGCTTGGTGGCTCAGCCTGTAATCCCACGCCTTTGGGAGGCTGAGGTGAGTGGATTTCCTGAGCCCGCGGGTTTGAGACCCGCCTGGACAGCGAAACCTCATCTCTACAATAAATAAAAAAATCAGCCGGGCATGGTAGCGCATGCCTGTAATTCCGGCTACTTGGAAGGCTGAGGCGGAAGGATCCCCGGAGCCCAGCAGGTCGAGGCTGCGGTGGCCGGGAGCGGCCACTGCGAGACTCCAACTCAAAAAAAAAAAAAAAAAAAAGAAAGGGAGGTCTCTCAAGTCATGGGGAGGCAGTCATTCATGGCTGATTGGTTGTCTGGACTTTCTTGCCATCAGACTCTTCCTAGGTCATCTGACGCGGACTTGGAAGGGAAAGCACTTTACACTAAGCCATCTTCAGTCTTCCTCCAGAGGAGCAAGTTAAGCTGAGAACCTACTCTGCCTCCACCTTGACATCAGGATGTTACTCACACTGTATTCTTCACACACAGCATCCTTCAGGGAAAGACCCAGAATGATACTGATTACTTACATCAAGGGTGACACATCTCAGCATCCACATACTCCATTTCTGGGTCTTGATCTATGTGTCTCCACTGATCCCTTGTCCTTCACCCTGACCCCACTGACCCTCCCTCCAGTTCATGGCATGCAGTCCCTGGGAACCAAGTAGAAAGGTGTGTTGGGTCTTTCCAACTAACTAAATGAAGCATAACATTGAGTTAAGAGCTATGAACTGGCCGAATTTGATGAAATGGGGTTTGAATCCTCAAATAGAAATAAAATCAAGGCCCATTTCAGCCTCTATGGGCCCTGACATTTTGGGCCCTGCTGGGGAATGTCAGCCCTGTGTGGCCCTGAAGGACTGCCTTCTCTCCACTTCCCTCTGGTAACCCTAGGCAGGTGGAATGAAATCCCAAGAGCCAGTGAGGAAGATGGCTCAGCCTGTTGCTACTGGCAGGTTTGGGTTACTGAGATTTTTGGCAGAGACTGAAGGAATAGGGCTATTTCAAGACACGGGACTTCCCCTCTTCAGTAAGGGTCTCTAGGCTTCTTTAGGGTCAGGAGCAAAGAAGCAGAAGATGCAAATATACTTGCCAATGTCCTAGTGAAAAGGTACTGAGGTGAAAGGATGCAAGCTGGACTCGGTGGCTCAGCCTGTAATCCCGCACCTTTGGGAGGCTGAGATGAATGGATTGCCTGAGCCCGCGGGTTCGAGACCCACCTGGGCAGCGAGACCTCATCTCTACAATAAATAAAAAAAAAATCAGCCGGGCGTGGTAGCTCATGCCTGTAATTCTGGCTACTTGGAAGACTGAGGTGGAAGGATCGCCGGAGCCCAGCGGGTCGAGGCTGCGGTGGCCGGGAGCGGCCACTGCACTCCAGTCTGGGCGACAGAGTGAGACTCCAACTCAAAAAAAAAAATAATAATAAGGTACTGAGGTGAAAGGATGCAAGGCTATCTCTGGCCTTGCCTCTCTTCCAGGACACAGCATTCCACCAGCCTCCTTCCTCCCCAGCATACAAGGTTGCTCCCTTCCCAATGAGCGACCACCCAGGAGCAGGCACAATTGTTCCAACCCCAAAGACCCAAAGCAGATGTTTGTTGGACTTGGGTCACCCAGAGATGGCTATTTATAAACTACCCCGATAAGCACAATCTGCCCTGCTCAATCCAGGCCACATGGATATGCTGTGCATCTGGTGACTCCACAGTCAAGCTAACCCTCTCAGTACCACAACGGCAAACTGGACATTTCCTGTACCAGCCAGATCCAAAAAACAGGCTACGGGAAGGGCAGAAGGTTCCAGAGCCAGCCAGCCCCTGGTGCTGAAAGGTCTGACTCTCAGGCTATTCTAACAGCAAGAACATTCACTGCTTTTTTTTTGTTGTGTACTAAATTGACCCATCTCAAAAAATGTTCTCGTATCATAGGATCAGCAAACTTTTTCTGTAAAGGACCACATTATAAATGTTTTCAGTTTTGCAGACTATATGATCTCTGCTGGTGTAGAGTGGAAGCAGCCATAAACAATATGAAAATGAATGAGCATGGCTGTGTGCCAATAAAACTTTATTTACAAAACCAGGCACCCAGCCCACAAATCATAGTCACCAACCACTACTGTAAAGGAAACTCAAAGACTGGAAAATTGGACCTCATTTAACAGACACATTTGTTTAATCTACTCTCCAGGTGCCTCTACTCATGGAGGTATTTTAAAGTCCTAAATAATAATTCTTCTTAAGGCTATCTAGTTTTCCACACATATTGGACACTACTCTTCTCAATTCTTCTCCACAAGAAAGAAAAACAAAGGATGATTTTAGACTCAGTCAAGCCTACCCTTTGGGGCCCTCCCGGGTGTGTGAGAACAGGCAGCCTGCATAAGGCTTTGGGGACACATGTGCTCACAGAGTCCACAGGCCAGAATGTCCCAATCACAAGTTTTCCTCTTTGTTACAGTTGGTGATCCTGCCTGCCCCAGCACTGGGGAAAACAAGAGAGCCAGTCTCCTCCAACTCTGCCATGAAATCTGTGACCAGGGGTTCTCCCCCATTTGACAATGCAGGGACCTGGGCACATCTACAGCTATGAGGGAGCAGAAAGCCCTGACAGACAACATGTAAGAACAAAGTCACATATGTATGTGCCATGTCCTCTGTACATAGTCCACAAGGCCCATCCAGCCACCAAGAATCTCAGCCTGAGAACCGGCGGGCCCTCGCCACACACACACCACCCTGCACTGCACCCTGGCACCAGACTCTAACCCCAGCACACCACCCGCACAGTGCAAACATCCCTTCTGCCATGAGCTTGAGCCTCCCTGCCTACGCGAAGGAGCCAAACAAGTGTCTGGGCTGTACCTTCTGCTCTCCGCGTGTCCAGCTGCTTGCTGTTCAGGCCGCCCCAGGAACAGGAGGGAAACCGGGCTCTTCCCAGGAGCCAAAACTTCTTCTTCTCTCTTTAGCCTGGCTGCCCCAAAATGACACAACAGTATATTCAAGACCCAAACCTCCTATTCCTCACAAACCTGCCCACCTGAGGAAAATCAGTGACCAGAAGCTGGCCAGACACTGGAAGTCCACAAAGCTTACCTAAATAGAGACCCAGCCGGGGGAAACCAAATGGTGTTCTTGGTGGGGAAGAGGCAAACAGTCCACACTGCAACACCCGTGTGGTGTCAAGTAACAGTCAGATTAAACAAACAGCCTCAGCATCTATTTTTACATCCAGATCAGCCACGAGTAATAGATAACTTGGGGAGTGAGAAATTGTTCGCCACTTAGCTGGACCCTAACCACAATCCCAACTTCAATCCAGAACGACTTCTAAAGCAATTCCAGCACCTAGAGTCAAATAAAAATATCCCAAGGTGGGAAGGAAAACATTTGTGAAAGGAAACATTAAAAACAGGATAGTGTGTGCCTTGGAGCCAGCGCCCGGAGGCCTGCTGATGTCTCGGGGCAGAAATAGCCCGTTTCATCATCAGCTCTGGACAACCGCAGCCTGCATTCCTCGAGTAAGGAGCCATACTCTGCTGTGCTTTTGGAGCAAAATAATACACCCAGTTGCAGGCTACGGGAAGACCAGGCTGGGTTTTAGGGCAAGAGTTGCAGAAGGATATGAAATAATCAGGGAAGAGGTAAGGTAAGGGTCCACTTGGTGAACTCGGCTCCGGCAAACCCAGTTGTTGGCAAGGTCCAAATGCCTGTGGACAAGCCCCATTCTGCCAGGCAAGGGCTCCCCACTCCATCTCTGGGAGGGGTTGGCCTTCCCACAGCCTGCCTTCCCAATGGTTACTTTCTGTCTCCACTTGGAGTCACCTACTCCCCCAACTGCCTGCAGATCCCAAATTTCTTCCACCTACTGTGCCTTCATTGGTGTGGGTTGCCCTCCTTAACCTCCTAAGCTGGCCCCCTGAAGGTCTACTTACTGCCAGGATTTAATGCAAGTTATTATTATTAATTTTTTTATTTCCAAGAACCCTTTCTCATGCTTCCTGCCCCGTGGCCTGAGGAAACAGTGATTGGTCCCAGCAAGTGTTCAAAGCTTCTGGAAACTTGCTGTGATCTGTATCTCTGGATCTATTTGCAGACTGCTCTTCCCATCCCTGTGGGCTCTTCAAGGACAGCAGCCTCTGTCCCAGACCCAACTCCAAGTCTGGCACCACCTCCAGTTTTGAACCTGCCAGCGTCCAGGGTCACAGGAAACCAGGTCTATGCACTTTTGTCCAAACCAAGCCAGAAAGAACAGCTCCTCATTGCCCTGCAGACCAAGGTGTCAGATCCAAACCAGCAGAAGCATCCAGACCCTCCTCCCGGGAGCCTTGCGACTTGCCTTTTTCCCTGAGAGCTTCTGGACCTCGCTGCGAAAATGCGGGCTCACCATTCAGCACTTGGAGATGGTTTGAGGGAGGCCCAAAGTGAACCTCCCAATTTAACCTGTCTCCCCCGCTGTCAAAACAAACACCAGCCAACTTGGCAGATGAAACAAAGCAACCCGAGATATGAGCCAATGTTTTTAAAAACTATACAGGATTTGGAACCTTGACTCTATTATTTCCTAACTGTTTGACATCAGTCAAATAATGAACCTCTCTGAGCCTCCATTTACCCATTTCTAAGGAGAATAGAATGCCTGAGCTCTGTAGAGTTGGGGGTTGGAGGAGCTTATGCACACAAATATGTTCAGTTTATTTGTTAATCTTCCCCATGATTTTTACCATATCCTCAAACCTCTGTATTGAAGTTTACTATTTTCCTTTAATGAAAATAGAAGTAGACTTGCTTTTTTTTTTTTACAGAGTTTTATGGGAAACAATAATACCTGAGAAATCATGGATTTGATATATTTCTTAATTTTTTTCCCTATTGCACATTGAAACAAATTTATAGCCAGCTTGTGTATCATCTGTTTGACCCAAATCATTTTGTCCCAGATGTTAGGAAATGTTACATTACTAAATCTCACTTTCTAGAGGAGTTCACTTTGGGGCGTGAGTAACATGAGCAGAGCCAGCAGGGCCCTTGGTTCTCCTAACTTGCTTTCCTCCCCAGCTTGGTGCCTTGCCTCTCCAGCTTACTTTTAATTCTTCACATGTCTCATTTAGGATCCTAGCTTTGTTCTGTGCAGCAGTTATCGAGGTTCGGTTGAAGCACTGAGAAAAGAACACTGTGAGGATGATGGGAACTTTCGGAGGGCTGAGCGGTGGTGGCAGGTAGCTTTGTCAATGATGTCAGCAGGAGGGGTTGGGAGAGAACAATAAAACTCAGTTGACCCAGCAAGAGCCTGTCTTGGAAGCAGGCAGCCTTCAGAGCTTGGCTGGAGGCTCTGTCCAGCCAACCTGAGCACAGCTGACCCTTGCAGAATCTTATTTCTCCTGGAAAATGCCTCCACTTGCTCCATGCCACGGACCCCACGTCTGTGCCAGTTATGACAGGCATACTGGTTCAGGCCACCCCAACAAAAATCAGAGAAGTCAGAAACTTCAGCCCAAGCACTAGACCAGGAGAACTCAGGGTCTGCATGGACGGAGCTGGCATCTGTCCAGGGGACTGGCCCAGGCAAAGTGACCACTCTCTTCTAGTCCAGGAGTCGTGAGCTGCATGGAAAGAATGTGAATGAAGACACAATTCTAAATGTAGCATCATGGACGCGTGTGAGCCAGCGTGCTCCCTACTTGTCCAGAAAAACAAGGCCCACTTGTACATTCTGCAAGCACATAAATAAAGCTGTCCTCAGGCGGCGCACTGCAGTAGCTGATCCTTGCAGTGACGTCACTGGCTACAAACTTTAGCAAGGCCTTGGAACATTGTGAGGGGAGTGCATCTGCTCAACAGAATGGGTAAGAATGGCCTAGCTATTACCCTGATGCACATGGTGAGCGCTAACTTAATTTTGCAGCAAATTAAATCTGCTCTACCTCTGTATTAATAAGAAATGCTCAAAATCTGGTAATAAAGGCAATGCAGAATGGGTCCTTCAGGCCAGTTTTGGTTCTGGATATTTGAAACTCACATTTTTGCAAATAACATGAGGCCACTCACCTGATTCTTCTACCCTTACCTCTGATTACATGCAACTTCTTGTCAGGAGACACTTCTTCACTACTGCCCTGCTTCCTTTAGGAATCATTTTTGTAAACTTCTTCAGGAGGTTGGTGCATTTCCCTGGCTTAATAACAACAACAACAACAATAATGATAGCCAAATGAAAATGCTAGCCAACTCATATAGAATGCTTACTCTGTGCCTTATACCTTTTAGGTCTTTACATAAATTACCCTACATATTGTACATGCTTGGTTTTAGGTCCTGGCATGATTTATTCTATTTCCATGAATCGCTATCTATCAGGGAGGCAGGGAAAGATGAGGAACAGATATTTCCTGAACACACATTATGTGCCAGGAAAACACTTTCTGTGCTTTGTGCCACAAAATCCTCACTGTATCCCCGTGTGATGACATTTAATGCTTCCTCTTTACAGGTGAGGAAATTGAGGCTTGCAGAAGTTGTTGGACGCCATGCAGTTAGCTGTGGCACTGAAGATGGAGACAAGGGCTTGCCCAGCTGGTATATCCTACTTACACACCCCCAGATACCCACTTCCTCAACTCAAGTTTAGGGTGCAGCCTTCTGTAACCCACTTGTTCTCCTTGCCTCTCTTTGGGGAGAAGATAGTCTGGCGGGGCACGTCCTTAGTTTCTGATTTGTTATGAGAACTGTAGGGAATTCTGTGCCCCAGTGTGGGCATAGTACACGCACTTCTTCAGGGCTGACGGCAAGATGGTGTGTCACTGGAGGAGGGCACTGCTGGGCCTCAGGCCCAGCTGGGCTGCTCACCTGCTGTGGGACCAGAGCAATCAGATTCGCCCTCAGGAACACTGGGTTGGTGGCTGTGCAGAGGGATGTCACTTGCTAATGCCCATCTAATGCCTAGCTCAGAGAAGCTGGATATATGAGGGAAGGGCCCTACTTGTAGCTCACAGTTTGAAAACAGCCCACAGACCCAGGTTGCTGAGGCCTCTTCTACAGGGCTGTTGTTCTCCCTGTCTGACCAGTCAGGTGCCAGGATGGTGACTGTCACAGTCAACTGAGGGCCACACTGGCCAGAGGCCTCTCCTCAAGCCCTTTTAAAAAGGATTCTTTGCTTAAGGCTTTACAAGGAAAGGCTTAACAAAGGAAACAGAACCCACACTATGAAGTGAAGTAAATCCAGTTTATTAAAATGCTCCCAAACACAACAAAGCCACAGCCACCAGCTGGGAGGTCTGCCTCTTAGTAGATCTGGGGTCTAGTAGAATCCTAGAGGAATCTGGAAACCCATCATTAAGAGGAGCTACTCTCCAGAGCACAGGCAGACAAACTTTCTGAAAAAGACAAAATAGTAAATATTTTCAGTTTTGCAAACCAGAAGGTCTTTATCAAAACTGCTTAGCTCAGCTATGATAGCAAGAATGCAGACACTTTCTGTCAACAAAAAGGAATGGCTGACACACTCAATAAAACTTTAATGTCAGGATTTACATTCAGGTGCCTGAGTTTCATGTAATTTTCACATGTTATAAATATGCTTGTTTTAATTTTTTCCCCCTCAACCAATGAAATATGTACAAATGATTCTTATCTCACGGGCCAGATTTGGATCCTGGGCCAGTTTGCCAATTTCTGTCCTAGAGTCACTCTGTTCCCTTTGGTGGCCACCAACCCCATGTGACTGAGTGCTCAAAACGCAGCTGGTCTGAATGAAGATGCTCTATGAGAGTAAAATGAACACTGGATTTAAAGAATTTAGTACAGAGAAAACTTGTAAAAATATCTCTGTAATATTCTGTATTGATTATGTGCTGAAATGATAATACCTTTGGATATTCTGGGTTTAATAAAATGTATTATTAAAATTTATTTCCGCACATTTCTTTTTACTTTTGGAATGTGGCTGCCAAAATATTTAAAATGACCCAGGTGGCTTGTGCTGTATTTCCACTGGACAGTGCTGGTCTGGCTCTGCTCTGGGCACGAACCCTCACCCCCATTATTTCCATCAGGCTGGACTCATCCTGGGATCAGGCAGAGGTGCTCAAGGTGAAAGAGTCTCTGTTTCTCCATCTGCGATTGCTCTGAGTTCAGATGTTAAGCGGGAATTTTGGCACCTGTAGTCCTAGATAACAGGTATTATTGTTCC